CTGTTATCACCTGCGGCACAATGGCCCCGTAACCGCCCTCCTCACTGTAATCTGGATGTCTGGAACAGAAGCCAAGGGTTAGCACCTGCACACAGGCAAACAGCACAGAGGTGGACAGCTAACACTTCTCTCCCAATGCCAAGGAAAAGACGTTTCACAAACTGAGAGCCTGGTGACAGAATGAGGAGTTTGTGCTCCTCATAGTTAAGGGACAGCACCAAGGGGCTGTTTTTTTAAAGTCCCTTTGCATCTCAGCTCGGAGTCCAATCATGACACTATTTCCCCAGACAAAGCAGTTTGGGGTGCAGATCCAGGGTGGGAAGAGGAACTCAGCGAAGTGTCTGCCTCCAGCACTGCCCTGAAGGATCCTAACACTTGGCATAGGAAGGGCCTAGTAGTTCCCAGTCACGGAACTGTCCGGGTGCTGTTAACCTGCCTGGTGTTTCCTGACATACCTGGTTACCGACCGAGGCAGCTCCCCCTTCTTCAGCCACACTACGATCTGGGAGCTGGTGAGACAGAAGCAGGTGATTAGGACCCCGACCAGATGGGCTGTGCAGAGCACAAGCATGGCCACAGCAGCCAGGGCAGGACACCCCTCAGAGGGCGCTGTGACTTGGATCATCGCTGCAGGAGTTGGGCTCTCCCCCACCTCCTAAGTGCATGTCCCCTGAAGCTGCCCAAGGGCTGGGCATGTGCCCAGCTGGCAGAAGCCTGGATCTTTATGGCCAGAGACAAAATGATAAGCGAAGCAGGTTTCTGGCACTTCTGACTACCTGAAGACTGTCCTCTGGCTGCAAGGGGGAAAAGCAAAACTTCCTGAAGGGCTCTGATACTCTTTGGCACTGTCCCCTGCACACAGCCCATCCCTACCAGCTGCTGCTTCTCACTGTGAAGGAGGGAAGTGGCACCTAAGGATTCCTTCCCACCTAACTGCCAGCAGACAGGGGCGCTTTTTTGCAGTTTCTCAACACAAGTCCTGTATCACCAGCAGCTCAGCGTTCCCCTTGGAGAAAGGCTGAACTGGAGCTGGAAAGTGAGCCGTGTACTCCCTCACCTGATGCGCTTGTGGGCATTCCTCCAAAACGAGATCATCTTGTTAATTTCCAGGGCTCTCGTCCCATTGGTGCCGCCAATGCCAGCCTGCAGGGTGCCATCTTCCATTTTGGGCAAGAAATCCCGGGCAAAGGGGCTTCCCACATTATTGGTATTCCCATCCTTTAACAGCAAAGCAGAGGAACTGGGCTTATCTCGGGGCAGGGGATATTAAATAAAAGGGGAGTCCTGGGTATACCCATACCCCTCCCCACTGTGTGAAAGTCATGCCTGTGACAGCAGCTGTGACCCGAACAGCAAGACAGGGGCCAAAGCAGGCTACCTTAAAAGAACCAAAGGCTGAAGGAGGAAAGCAAGTGCACTGGACGGATGGGAAGCCAGGAGCCTGATACAAAGCCAGGAGACAAGTCTAGTTGGACCAGGAGGCTGGTGAAGGGGTACAGAGGCAGCAGTACATGGACTGTCAGATGGTTAAGTACCTACAGCCCATGTGCCTTCCACAAGCAAGCTGGCCAGTGGGCTCCACAGCATGGCTCCACACCATTTTTCCCCATTGGGAAGAATGGCCCCTTAGGGGCACCATTCTGATGCTCTGGCACCAGACTCAAGCCTTGGAAATTCTATGCTCAGGACAGCCCCAGGGAAGACTCAGCATCACACATGAAAGGCACCCCACCCCCCACAAGCTCCACACTCACCTTGTGAGGCAGCTTGAAGAACCAGCAGCCGGGGATGTTGACATCGTCGTATGGGCCATTGCCATGGTGGTAGCAAACCTGGCTGCCTACAGGCTCCAGCTCCAAATCAGCAATGTCGTCACATGAACCTCTGGCATGAGGCACCTCCTGTAGTTGGAGGCAGAAGGTAGATGAGCTTCAGGGGTGGAGGAAGCACCAAGCGATGGAAGGGCCACCTCGTTGCACAAGTGCTGGGGACAGGAGCCTGAGCCTCTGTGCACTGTAGGAAACACAGCCACAGGGCACCACCCCCCCCGGGGTTGCACCCCGAGAAGGAAGGAGCCACTTCCCCTCTTCCAGGCATGATTCTGGGCTCCACTTTGCTCAGTGGCACCATGGGCAGCTCAGGACTTGGTGCAATGAGGCCCAATTCGCTGACCTTTCCCACAGTGAAAATCTTGCGTACCTTTGTGGGGCTGTTGCCTGCTTCAGCTTCCACATCAGTGGATGCCTCAGTCTCCAGTCGGCTCAGCTCCTCCACCTGCCAGTGAAGGTGGGAGAGAAACTGGAGCAGTTATACCATTTCAGCCCATTAGCTTCCCCACTCCATCCTCGCAAACACATGGATCATCAATGTGGGTGAGGGGCCCTTCTCCCCCCACCCCCATTGATGAGAAACCAGAGTGCTTTGGATTCTCTGCCAAATCAGACGCTGCTAGGACAGCTTTTCCAGAATCTTCCCATGTTGTGAAGCTGCTGTTCTCCTGCACATTTTAGATCCCATAGCTCTCTAGCCTCCCTTGTTTTACAGTGGACACTGTGCTGGCATCTGAGGGATATCTAAGGAGATCAGAGCCTGTCTTTATTCTTGGTACAATGCAGAGCAGAAGGAAACCGTGTTGGCTCAGCACCGACTCAGAATTCTGCAAGGCAACAGGCAAGTCAGGATCCATGACTACCACTCACTGGCCTCTCTGCTGAGATTGCCAACAAAGAGGCCAAGGAGACTCATCCTTTGGGAACTGGATTAAGCCTAATAAGTCCTTGTTGCAGTGCTATTAGAGAACAGTAACTCATTCCCCCCGACTTGAGCTGGATTTGAACTAGCAAGGTAGAAGTGAGAGCATTTCTACTGTCCCCAAGACCTCTGGGCCAGCTGCTGCTTCTACTTCACTTTATATGCTGTTCTCCATACATATAATTAACCAGGCAAGAGGACAGCTGTGCAGGACATGGGGGCTTAGTGACTACTTGTCAGAAGAGAGCCTGTGGATTCTAAAAGTGTCAATATTCTGGGCTACCAGGACTCACTTTTCCCCAGAGTAAACTCTCCCCTTATCCGGGACTGCCCTGCTAGGATTTCTTGGTCCTTAACCCTTGATTACTGGATGCTCCAGAATGCCAACTCAAAGGCTACTAAGATTTGGCATCAACAGATCTCCAGGGAAGATAGTATCCTGGCTGGAGTTTTAGGTCAAAGAGAAGGCTAATCGAGGCACCTAGACACAGGGGAAAAAAAAAAAAAATCAGGACAAAGGGTTGTACTGTCCAACAGTCAAGAAACAGCTGCCCAGGCCTTTCCCCAGCTCAGGTGCAGGGTTTGCTTGTTTGAAGGTGTTTGTGCATTTGCAGCAAGGAGTCAAAGTTGGCCAGGTCCTTCCTCCTGATGGGAGCAGGCAGATTTTCTCCCTTCATCAGGGCCTCTGCACTCTTCCTTCCTCTTTTCTACCAAGCCCAGCTTTACCTTCTGCCACACTGTGCTTTTGTCTGTTAACATGTACTCCTCTTCAAGGGAAGGAGCCAACAAGAGGGGTTGCTCCTTTCCCCTCTCCTTACAGTGCTCCTTGTACAAGTCCTCGATGACCCTAGACGGAGATGATGAAGGAAGGATAAGTGCCAACTGCGAGCCTGTGGTGACTGGATGGGAGGCAGATTTTGTATCAAGTATCTGATATCACCACCACCACCAGAGGCAGCATCCTAGGGTAGAGAACTCCTAGATGCCTCAAGTCTGCCCAGGTAAGTACATGAACACAAAGGCTATGTGCTCACACAGCACCTTGCTGAATCTGGTCTTCAGCCACAAGCTGCTTCTCAGACAGAGGAAGGTGAAGAGCACAGCTTCTTTTCAAAGTAAAATAGATTTTATTTTACTTTTTTAAGTTCCCTAATGTTAGTGTCTTGTTTAAGTGACAAAGCAGTTCAAATATCTAGGGCTCTGGATTCAATTCATGACCTTTTCTTCCCCCCAGCTGCCGTGCCCCTGAAGTTTTAAACGTTATCCACTAAAGCCAAAAAACACTACAGGAGTCTCTCCCAGCCTTCTGAGTGCAGTGACTTTCTGCCATTTCCCCAAACAGCACAGCCCTTTTCTCTTACCTGTGGGGACATAGTGGCGCTTCGGTCTCTGGGGTATCCCCTGGGAAATTGTCCTTTCTGCCTGGCACGAGGTAGCCCCAGCCATACTTCTCCGAGTAATGCAACGGGAAGCCATCCCACGCTAGTCTCATAAGCTTAGGTGTCACTCTCATTTGAAGAGTGATGAGACTGGGACCGGGCACCCAGTGTGGACTCTCCAGCCGTGGGCACAGCTTACGGTACCATCTGGAGATCAAAG